ATATATATATATATATGCTGCTATATATTACCTACATATAGATATACTTATATATATATATATATGCTGATGTATATATATATATATATGCATGGATGTATACTCTTATGTATAAGAAAAAAACAGAGCTGCTTTATTTGTTATACAATGATGATCATCCTCCCTTTATTTATGAAGAAGGAAAGCTTCCTTCAAATAATTTATTACTTTCCTTAAATATATAAATAAATATGCAAAAGAATATGACTTTTATGTGAATAATAACCACAAAGAAAAGGAAATTGAATGACGACGCATTCCTTTCAGCTGCACACAACACAGCAGCAAAACAAGCACAGCAACAAAGACGTCTGCTGTTTGCCTTCCCTCAATTCTCCAGAGGAAATAAATGATAAATTCAACAATAAAAATAATAAAAAAACAAAAATTAAACTTTATTCATGAATTATACACAGATCACAACAACAGCCGCTTTCTTGCATGCGCAACGGCGGCGGCTTCAGTGGCGAACCGCGAAACCTCCGGTGCCCATACACTGCAAAACATGAATATGCTCCTGTATACGCAACAAAATAAAAATATTATTCCTTTTATTATTTATATTATCAATTTATATTTATTATATTCAATCCATTTTTAAGAGCCCAGTCTTTTTTTCCCGCTCATGCATACTACACATTTACACCCGAGAGCGTCTGCTTTCCTTATGCCGGAGAGGAGAACCCAATATATATGTATACATATAACATAGTATTTGTTATATTTTTCATGTTTGTGTGTATCTATACCTTAATTCAATCTTTCTCCTTAGCGTGAGTAACGGTTTAACAATTAATTACAGTGTTACTCCAGTAACAACGAGGGGAGGGAAAGCGGGGCTTGGGTGGTTAGCATGTACTCTGTTGCCTTATAAGGGAGGTTACAACTAATAGAACTATAGCTTATGATAAAACAGAGCTTATCCTTACCATTAGCCACAAGGTTGGTGGTAGTGTGCTAAGGAGGCTTGGAGATTGGGGAGGAGGTGAGCGGTAGCATGGGCCGTTGACCTTACAACAGGATTGTTGTATGGTGTAATGAATAAGAAGGACTTACAGAGATTAGGGGTAATTAAATGCAACTTTCGTGCTTATCCAGTCCCAAGGTGTCATAAGCACAACGGCAAAAAGCACCTGGAGTTGGGAGAGGAGGGAATCCTTGTCTTACGATGCAGCACAGCCCCGTATACAAGCACAAGCAAACCTCCTTGGCTGCATGGATAAACACTGTAGGCAGTTGTTGAGAATTTCTGCATGCGTGTGTCGTGTACTGAGGACGGATAAGTGTTCGTGTGCTCATAACCTTTGACAGTAACCAGACTGCATGCACATAAGGCTGCTACTATTACACTAAGTACATACAGAATTTGTTATATTTGTCCTGTTGTTCAAAGATGTGCTGGCCTGCGTGGGACTGATTTCCCAACAATAGACGAACGAAGCAACGAGATGGCTGCTGCTGCTTTTCCTGGTGTATGAGCCATGCTTGTTTCTGCAGTATCTCATGCTGTTGCATAGCTTGCTGTTGCATCACTTGCCTACCTAGCTCCTGCAGCTTGATTGTTGCTCAGTGTTCAATATATGCTGCTGCTCTTTGTGCCTACGAAAACTGCAGCGGATCCTGAGCAACTCCGTATGCCTAACATAGACTATCAACACGAAGCCGCTATGCGCTGTGTGCGTTACACCGGCGAACACGAGGCTTGTCGCATATTTCTTCGGCTGGTCGCCCTACTATGCACTGCACAGACTCTGCGCATTCAATGAATCAAGTCGCATGCATATGCTTTACGTCAATGCTGGACGTCGCTTGTTGTTGTACCATGCATGCATACTTAAATATTTATTCATATATTCAGCAGCATCTGCTACATGTATACGGATATTACAACTTATAGGTGTACGGGGCTTGTACTAAGTACCAGGTCCAACGTCCACTGGCGTGCCAAATAACGGTAATTCAATGTTGACAACCGAACAGCCGAACAGCGTTTCGCTGGCCACCGTCTTGGTGGGCTTGAAGGCTCTGCACGACCTATCATTTTGCTAGTTACTCAACGCTCCTTCGGTATAAAATTGTGTACGCTTGTTTCGGAAAAAGAGGTATATGCATCGCTCGATACTCCCAGCAACGTCCTGAATCTCCGATTCACAGGCTGCCTGTTGTTACAGTTTTCTACCCGTTAGTTACAGCCACAGACAGAATATAGCATGACAATGCCCTGTGTATCTTCTACTGACTGGACGTGCCAGCGCTGCGAAGTTATTTGTCTCTGGATAACAAACAGGCGCTCCGCTCGATCCAAATCCCAACGACCCTTACATTCATCTGGCGCCTCCATACCAGTGGGCCAGCATCAACCCATTTGCACGAATCGGGAAGAATATGTGATTTTTTTTGAGGAAAACTTTCGACCGCTTCCCCGTACCCTCCACTCTCCGTGCATCTTCGCGAGTACTCTGTCTTCCTTTCTGCAGCAGCAGGACCTCAAAATGTTAGAATGGGGTGCCGCTGCTGACATATTGCCTAACTGACTATGTCTAACTATCAAGAGTAGCAGGAGCCTTCTCTCTCAGCAGAGAAGCATGGTGATCTGCCTAACGGTGCTCGCATACTAGCGACTTTCACCAAGACAGTGAGGCCATCCCCTTCCTGTCTTATACGATCCCTGATCCTAGAGGCTCAATTGCCTGCTTATGGCTAGTGGCGGAAGGGAGGAACTCGTTAAGAATTGCAGCAAGCCTCGTGGCAACTCTATGGTTGCACGGCAGACCCGAAGGCCAGCATAACAAACCCCGTCTAACTGCATGGAATAATAGTGTATGCAATAGTCAAACACATCTTCGGCCTCCTCTAGTCAGTCTGCATGCAAGTATAAATACTTCTATATTGCAGACAGCGCATGCATGCTCCTAGACAAAATACTAGACGGAGGGCTGTGTGCTAATGTTGCCTAGACAGTGAATGCGAGTAATAGCTAGTCTTAGTCGCTTATGCTGTAAGTTATTTAGATAGGATTTCTTCTTAAGACACATCTTTATTAATATAAATACCTTTTCCTTCAATAATTGTAGAGGTATAACTAAACAAAGGGGAGTAAGAAGAGGAGCGGTGCTGGGGGGGGCAGAGACGCGTCTGCTGTCTACCAATAAGGAGGGAAAGTTTTGTTAATTGAGTATGAATTAATTGAATAAATAAAGAAATAAGACATTTAAATAAACGGAGGAATAATTAAATTATTTGTAAGAGCACAGCAGCAGCCACACGTTGTAGCGGCTGCTGCTGCGTGGGCAGCAGCAGCTGGCTGCGGTGGGTAGTCCGTGGGGTATAAAGTAGTGTTGCGGTGTACGTACAATAAGAAAAGAGGAAAAAAACAAGTAAATAAAATAAAATAAATAATTAAATAAAATAATATAATCTGTAAATCCTCTATAATTTACATTAATGAAGACTAAAACAACAACAACAACAGTAGCAGCAGCTGCTGCTGCTGTAGAGTCCATACAGCAGCAGCAGCAGCAGCAACAGCAGCAGCGGCTGCTGCAGATGTTTAGATGGGCAAGTGTATGTGTATGTATGTAAAGCTGTTAAGGTTGTGTCGTTTGCTGTTGGTGGCGGTGTCTGGTTATAATTAATAATAACTGTCGTGATTTATTTATTTTATTTATTTACCTTATTCGCCGTTAAAGTTCCTTTTTCTTTCTTCCTTTTTCTTTCTTTTCTCTGACGCGGGCCCCCTTCTCTCCCCACGACTGCAGCAGGAGAGAGCTGCTGCTACTGCTGCTGCTGCTGTTGCTGCTGCGACGGAAGAAGTGTACCTCAACGGTATTTTCTTACTAATTTATGTATTTCTTTTAATACTTTATTTCCTTTTCTTCCTCAGGTGCTTATTGTGTCTCGTATAAGACCAAGTAGGGGGCCCTCTTCTTCCTCCTCCTCCTCTGTTGTTGTTGTATACAACAACGACCTCCTTGGCTGCTGCTTCCTGATGGGCTACCAGTGCATGCTGCTGTTGCTGCTGCTGCTGCTGCCTGTTAATAATTATAAAGGATATTTCTGCAGCATATCTGCTGCTAGACTTGTGCTCTCTTCTCCCTCTTCTTCTTCTTCCTCTAATCCTCTCCGTTAGTTCTATATATATATACATATATATATACATATATATATATCTCTTATCTTTCTTCCTTTCTTCCTTCTTTTCTTCCCTTTCTTTCTTTCTTTTGCGGTGTACGTACCTCGTGCCTTGGCCTCTTATTGTCTTATTATTCAATACGTAATAATACATCATCATGGATACTTCATTAACAGCAGGGGCGCCGGCGGAGGCTGCGCCAGCAAAATACATACCCCCGCACCTCCGTCGGCAGCAGCAGCAGCAGCAGCAACAACAGCAACAAGGGGCTTCATCAGCTGCAGCTTCTGCAGGTTCCCCTTCCGGTTCTATGGGTGGTGGTGGTTATCCGTCATATCCATCAGGAGGAGGTATGGGTGGTGGGGGCCCCCATCGTCCTGGTGGTAGTAGTAGTACTATGGGCTCTATGAATGGTCGTCGTAATATGCAGCAGCAGCAGCAGCAGCAAGGAGCATCCCCTGAAGGAAGGGGAAGATTTAGTTGTTTAGGTGGTGGTCGTCCATCTCCTGTAAGTGATTATAGGGGTATGCATAACGAAGGAGGAGGAGGAGGAGGAGGAGGAGGTAGTATGGGTATACCATCATCAGACGGTAATAATAATACAACAACTAGTAGAGGAGGGAGCAGCAGCAGTAGCAGCAGCAGCAGCAGCAGCAGCAGTGGAAATTGGACAAGTGGAGGAGGTGGAAATGGGAGGCCATCTAGACCCAGTCAAACTGGAACGGGGTGGGACGTGAGAGACGGGCGCTCCTATAGGCCTGAGAGGGCAGACGACGTATTCAGCCCAGAGAAGCAACAAAGTACAGGAATTAAGTTCGATGCTTATGATAAGGTACCTGTAGAATTAAAGGGTAGAGGGAGCGAGAGAATAATTCCTGTTGAATCTTTTGAGGAAATTGGATGTAAATTCTCTCCTTTATTAATGGAGAATGTTGCTAGAGTTAATTATAGTAGACCTACACCTATACAAAAAAATTCAATACCTACTATTCTTGCAGGAAGAGATCTTATGGCTTGTGCACAAACTGGATCAGGAAAGACTGCTGCTTTCTTATATCCTATTATTGCACAAATGTTGCAAACTGGACCTCCTCCTCTTCCTGGTAATGAAAGAGGATCCACCAGTTCCTATAGAAGAAGTGTATTTCCTGTATGTCTTGTTCTTTCTCCTACTAGAGAGCTTGCTATGCAAATCTATCAAGAAGCAAGAAAATTCCAATTCGGTACCGGTATAAGAACTGTTCCTGTATATGGTGGATCACAAATCAAAAGACAACTCATGGACTTAGATGCTGGATGCGATATTTGTGTTGCTACACCAGGAAGACTCGCAGATGTACTCGAAAGAAGAAAGGTACGAATTATTATATATACACTCTCCTCCTCTTTATCAATGTTTTCTTATATGTATGTACATATATGTATACCACCTGGTGGAAACTTATTCAGTGTTTCGTGCAAGTATACGGTAGAGAATATACAGAGAAGATGCAGACAGAGATGCCGTTTGTTGCTGTTGTTTTGCACGTCCATGAACAGTTTCGTGTATTACTTGAATATTGTTTGTTGGTGAATATAAGGAAACGTAATATATTCATAATGGGTTTCGTTTATATGAAGGTTTTCATGATTATTCATGTTCATCGGATGGGGTGTATGCTGAGGTGTACTGAGCAATACAGTGTATGCATGTATGTGTTTCTGTTGTTGTATTCAGATTCGCCTGGCACTTGTACGTTATCTTGTGCTTGATGAGGCGGATAGAATGTTGGATATGGGTTTTTTACCACAAATAAAGTCAATAGTTGACGATTTCGACTTACCTCCATGTCCTTCTCCCGGTAGCGTTTCAGAAGATGGCGCGAATCGTGGGCGTCAGACGATCATGTTTTCTGCGACGTTTCCTAAGGAGATTCAGATGTTGGCAAAGGATTTTATGCACGATTATATTTATTTAGCAGTAGGTCGTGTGGGAAGCACGAACGAGTTCATTCGTCAGCGTTTATTGTATGCTGATGAGGACCAGAAGATAAAGTTACTGGTGAATTTGTTGCGTGAATCAGAGAAGGGTTTAGTAATAGTATTTGTTGAAACAAAGAAGAAAGCAGATATGATTGAGGATTATCTATTAAATGAGACATTTCCTGCAATATCTATTCATGGTGACCGTACACAAGAGGAACGTGAGGATGCATTAAGACATTTTAAATCCGGACATAGACCAATATTAGTAGCAACAGATGTAGCAGCAAGAGGATTAGATATATCTAACGTAAAACATGTCATTAATTATGATTTACCCTCTAATATTGACGATTATGTACACCGTATAGGACGTACAGGACGTGCAGGAAATCTTGGTCTTGCAACTTCTTTTGTCAATGAACAAAACAGACCAATTCTTCGTGATTTATTACATTTATTAGAGGAAGCTAATCAGGAGATACCTGGTTTCTTACATCCTCTAGTTGTATCTTGTACATCTTCTTCTTTACGTTTTGGTGGTCGTGGTGGATTTGGTCGGATGGCTAGCAGCAGCAGCAGCAGCAGCAGCAGCAGCAGATTTGGAGGTGGTAGCGCATTTGGTAGATCCTCTGCTGCTACTGGATCCTATTCTATAGGAGGAGGAGGCCGTATGATGGGGGCCTCGGATTGGCGCTCGGAGGCCCCAGGCAGGCCTACAGGATTCTCTGCTGGTATGGGCTTCGCAGCTGAGCGCAGCACGGGGCCAGCAAGAGACGCATGGTAGCTAGCTAGCTAGCTAGCTGCATGCATGCATGCATGCATGCATGCATCTATGTATGCATTCATTCATGCATCCATGCAGTCATGCATGCGTATGCGTATGCATACATATATATGCATATGCATATGCATGCTTGTATGCAGCAGCAACAGTCTATGTATGCATGCATGCATGCGTACTGTATGCATCAGTGCATGCATACATACACATGCAATCCATGCGTGCATGCATCAGTGCATGCATGCATGCATGCATCAGTACATGCATGCATGCATGCATGCATGTATGTATGCATGCATGCATGCATGCATGCGCACAGGCCGGTGGGCTCTATTGAACCCCATCATTTGCATCTTCTTAATGGTCAGCACAGTTAACACAGGATGCTCGTGGCGCCGGTCAATTGAAGACCGCTGCGCCTGTGCTGCTGCTGCTGCTGCTGCTGCCGCTGCCGCTGCTGCTTTGCTTTGCTTGCCTTGGCGAGGAAGAAGACTGTCTACTATATCTATACAAGCTAAATTTTCTGTACATTGCCATCATTATTATACGTATATTTATTGTATATATATATATATATA